TTTTTTTTTTTTTTTAACTTTCTTCTTCATCTTTTTTGTTTTGCCAGGAAGGATTAACTCTCGGTGCAATAAATAAAAAAAATAAAAAAAGTAATAGGGCGTAGTAGGTGTGCTTTTTAACCGCGTATACAAATAAAAAAATCAATAAAAAAAAAAAGTATAAAAGTGTTTTTTCTGTTTTTTTTAAATAGAATCAATATATACACATTTCATTAACATGAACCAATCTTTAATTAGAATTGTATTATCGGATATTTAACGAATTAATAAATAAAAAAAAAGAAATGTAATGTAAAATATATCGAATAGAAAATTTGGTAAATGCAATGTTTATCGTGTAAACGTATTCGTTTGGCAAAAAAAGGGGAATTGTAAAACTTAATCGAAAGGTATTGAAATAAATTTGTCTTACATTTCTCGTTTTGAGAATCATCTCCCGATTGACTGGATCAACCTCGCTTTTCTCACTGGCATAACAGATTTTGGCATGACCGATTAACTGTAACAAATCAAAATAAAACAATAATGTATAACCATTGATTATGATAATTCTACAAACATCCAATTGCATCATACAAAAATAATTTGATTCATCCAAACTCCTCTAAACCCCCCACCCCCACCCCCACCCCTATTTATATCCATGAAATTACCACAGCAAGCATTTATCGTGATATTAATGACGAATTAACGCGAATAATTAGATAATTATAAAGATTGTAATTTGTACTGTGTGTTAAGTGCACTTCAATTATAGTTCCTTTCGCCATTAATTATAGATATTTCAATTACGTTCTGACTAAACAACTTCCTATCGTTTAATACATCATAAATTACTATTACTATTACCATTACTATAAACCGCGAATACCATCACTATCAATAAAAATAACAACTACTACTGAATCATATAGAAAATAGGACCTTGATTTAACAACTGTGATCAAGAGAAGAATAAATTAGGCTAACACAAATGGAAATTCAATGGATAATTTAAACCATGGTAAAATTATTTCTAACACGTTTCTATCGTACGCAAAATAAAAATATTCTTCCATGGTTCTCTTTTACTAAAACATATACAGGATGCCTAATCCAGGATGTTAATAGTTACTCTATATATACATATATAAAACACATATTATATACTTAATACAAATATACTATGTATAGTTTACTTATAAATATATTTATTATAAAATATAACATTTCATGTTTCTTATATTATTTATCTTCTTACATATTTATATAATTTCTATTAATTTTTAGCAACTTAACACGTGGGTTTATTTTTTTTTTTTGCTTTTATGCAAACATTTCATTCAAATTAAATTTAATTTCATTAAATCTTTGCGTTATTCCAAGCTACCGTATCTCGAACTTTTAACTCTTAACTCTAACTTTAATTCTCTCTTTTACACGCTTTCTCTCTCTCTCTCTCTCTCTCTTTCTCTTTTTTTTTTCATTCTTTCTTTCTTTCTTTCTTTCTACATCTCACTTTCTCTCTCGGTACAACGAAACGAGCTTTTAGGAAATAGCTGAGCTTATAGAAAATCCTTCCGAAAGGAAACGATTCGCTAGCTCGAAAAAGGATTCGACGTTGAAATCCCTTGCCCTTTTTTCTCTCTTTCTCTCTTTTTCTCTTTCTAACGATTGGCACGTTGAACCAAGGCCGACGAATAACAAAGAAGAAAGAAGATGAGAGAGAAAGAAACTGTGAGTGAGAAAAAAAAGCGCTACAACTATGCTTAAGGGTACAAAAATACATATACAAATTGCATATACGTACGCATATATATATACACACACGTACGTACACATTGAATGAAAGAGAGTAAAAGAAAAACGAAAATGAAGAGAGAGTGGGAGAGAGAATATCATGTATTTACAAGGACTCTCTTTTGCTTTCCAAAACTAACTGGACGATTGCCAAATGGCGTAACATTGAGCGCACTCATTATGAAAGTTGATACAGTTGCTCTTGTTGTTTTGTAATTCCCTTGATATTCCTCCATTTCAATCCCTATCCCTATCTCTCTCTCTTTATTTCACTAATACACCTCAACCCTCATCCTTTAACATCCTAAAACCTTCACCTCTTCTCAGCTTCTTCTTCTTCAGCTTCTTCATCTTCTTCATCTTCTTCTTCTTCTTTTTCTACTACTACTAATACTACTATTACTACTACTATCTTATAACTATACAAGAAAGGGTAAATGTTGCACGTCTTCTTGCTCACGACTTCCTCGGAAAGTTTTGAATTTCCGGTTTCCTCTAGCAGCTATACTAACTCGGTCGGATGGTTGGTGCATTCGTTCAGATGCTGATTGTTCGCTCGGCCGATAAAACAGGTTCTTGCTACGTTCATTGTTGCAATCCGCCGTCTCTCCTCCCTGCCCTTTGGTTTCCATCCGCTAAAGTTCAACTTACAAAACGTTATTGATCCCACCTATTATTTTTTTATATCCCCCCTCCCCTCAACCTTTTTCCCATTGTTCTTTTTATTTTTTATTTCTCTGATGCATTAAACTTCACTATCGTTATACTACTTGCTCGATTGTATTTGAATATTATTGAATTGTTACGATACAATTGAATATTTTGTTCGTTCCAATAGAATGAGAGAGAAAGAGAGAGAGAGAGAGAGAGAACAGGGGAGGAAGATCGAAATCTTTTTAATTGAATTTTTTTTCATACATGAATATGTAACGAACACAGTTGTTTCTATGAATACATTTTTATAAAGAATCGTTTGTTGTATTTCTGATTAACTTTCTTATATAAAAATGTGAATGTAGGATATAAAATATTTTGTTCCCTTTTTCTTTTCCTTATTTTATTTTTTTCTCTTGTTTTTTTTTTTCTCTTTTCTAATAAATACTTTTATCTCAAATCTTCTTTTCTAACGATTTAATGAACTTTGATCAGAAATAAGTGAGAACGTAATTGTGTTATATAAGTAGACTTAACAATACTTGAGCTTTCATGATCATTCCAACAAACTGGATCACAATTACATGAATGTGATATATCTAAGCATTAGTATGACGTACATTTGAACTAACAATGAAATCAAAATAGGATTAATGAATTTTTCAGACGACAACCTTGACCATACGTCGATAATTTATTTCGAATTATCTACTTGACCAAAAGCCATTTATAAAGATCTTAGTAAAGTCGTTTTTTAAGATAATTTAGGTGAGAATCGTTAGAGGACGACCTTGAAATCGATGACCCATGCTGTGATATGCTTAATTAATCCCTCGATATTAAGACCACTTTAAAAGTACTTATTTGATGTAGAGAATGGCCTTGAATAAAACAGACACCTATTACTCATGTTACATAGTTAATCAATGATTTTATAAGTTCTTTATAATGATTCATATTTTTTATAACAAAGAAGGTACATCAGATTGTTCGATATTGAAAGAAACTTGAAGTTAAATTTATACGAATATATTTTTATTAATTAAATTGAATAAATGTTTCTATATTTCTTTTCGAAGATGCTAAGTTGTTTTGTATATTTGTTCTTGAATGAAACCTGAATTAAAATATATTTAAGAAAATGTTCATCTTCTAAACTAAATAAATTTTCCTATCATTTTGTCTTTGACGTCGTTATTCATGAATATTCCTAATTACCTGATCAGTAAATGAAGTTTTAATTATGCAATGTAAAATATTTATGATACAAAGTCTTCGATTAGCATTTAAATCATCATTAGATGATCATAATAGCTATCAATAATGATTTTCTACAAATATGAAACAAATTATTCATACGACGTATGATATTAATTATTTTAAACATTATTTTAAGTAAAACTTATTGGAGTAAATTGTTAATCTTTAAACTAAATAAATGTTTTGTTAAACTTACTAATAATAATCTTTATTTTTCCCAGCTTTACAGCCAAGTGGAATGACTTGGAATTGTTAAACTTACTATGCTACACAAATACAATTTCTATAAAATATTGTGAAATATTTATAATAAAAAATCTTCGACTAAACTATGCAACTTTGCGCTTGACGTTTAACAATGTCTATAAATCTAATGACACTTGAATAAATTAATGCACTTATCATAAAAATTACTATATATATATATACATTATCTGTTAAAATAAATGTTAAATATTTCAAAAGAAATAATAAAATACAAATCAAATATTAATAATACAAATAAAATAACCAAAAGTATATTTTCCATCGCACTCATTCTATTCATACAATAAAACTTATATAATAATGAATGTTGAACGTTAAAAAATATAAAATAAATATAAAACAAATTACGAAAAAAATATGAAATAAAATAAAAATAACAAACAAATATATGTATTTAAAATAAAAGAGTTTGTTATAAATGTAATAGATTAGGTTAGGTTAGGTTAGGTTACCTAGCGCGTGATACACACACACTTTTAACAACCGTGATCATTACAAGGATGCATTTACGTCATAATCTTGGCGGTCTTACTAATATAATAATATATATACATATGCATACATATACATATATATTTTAAAATTTAACATTAATGTATTTTAATGAATTAAATTTTATTATCTCTTAAGATTTTAACCTAAGAATTCGTCATTAATTTTTCACACACACAACAACAAAAATCATTTTAATAAATAATAATAATCTACTTACTGCTTGAGCCCACCTTGGAAACCCAAAACGAGAGGAAACAAGTCTATGTGTGTGTAGGATTCCATCCATAACTTTCCTATCAATAACATCAGTTCCAATAATCGATGAATTTATTGGATTAGGATATTTTCTCCAAGCTGCCTGTGTCACGGTCTCCCATGTGTGACTAAAATACATCAAATTAAATAATCATTAATTTTATTTCTCATTATTATTATTTCTTACTCCGTTCGCGTATTCGCGGTCAAGAAAGAAGAAAGAAGAAAGAATTAAAAAATGGCAACTATCTAATATTGTTTAATATTTGCATCACTTACTTAAATGTGTGTTCTGATCTCCAAATCCTCATAATGTTTATTTAACACTTTACAAGAACTATACGACGAATTTACTATAATTTGAATCGTTAATTGTTACAGAATGATGCATAAAAAGTAAAACAATCCGGACACGACACAATGCACACAAGACGACACTGTCGTTCTTACCTAAAGGCCCCCCCCGCCATTCCTAATCCCTGATTTGATGCAATATATATTTCTGAGAAAAGACAGATGGCGTTGCACTCGTACTCGGTCGGTAAATTGTACAGCAAAATTTTATATAAGAAATATAATGAAAAATATTGATTTATTTTTTGTATAATACTAATGTTTATTTAATTATTTATCTAATATTGAATTATAGAACAAATGCACACACATATACATATACATTTATATGCATTTATACATGCATATAGATTTTCTGTCAAGGCGACATCTAACCTTTTAAATAGTAAAAACATTTGTGTAGAGTATTTTATATCCTAAGTGGTGAAAGAATCTGTTGAAATCTGGAAGACTTTATGCATCATTGCAATTACGTTTATTGATATTTTCACGTGTTAGATTATTTTTCATTTTATTAAACGTATATATATCTACTTATATATGTATATTCGTATATATACGAAATGAATATTACTAAGAGGTTATCAATAAGAAACTTGAGTAGTTTAACAGTAAGTATTATTGTTATTTGTTATTTAAAACAAAATCTCTTCTTTATGCATTAAATATATTATTTCTTTATAACAGAAACAAACACTTTTGAATGGTGAAAATGGTCACCGTACTAGTTTATATGCAGCGCAGTATGCCAGACAAGCATCTACGGTTACACCATTGAATACAATAATAATGTTTGTTCCACAGCAAGAGGTTTGATTTATTTTTCTGTGTCAATTTAACTTTTCATTTATTATATTTTTAATTAATTATAAATATTGTTCTAGGCATGGATCGTTGAAAGAATGGGAAAATTTCATAAAGTTTTAGAACCTGGTTTCAATTTACTCCTACCAATAATAGATCGAGTAAAATACGTACAAAGTTTAAAAGAAATTTGTATACAAGTGCCGAATCAAAGTGCTATTACATTTGGTATGTATAATAATAATCATATATTAAATAATTTACAATTGAATTAATAATATTAAAGTTTTCGTTCGATAATATTTTTTATAGATAATGTGACACTGGATATCGATGGTGTGCTGTACTTAAAAATAAATGATCCTTATTTGGCTTCTTACGGTGTTGAGGATGCAGAGTTTGCTATAATGCAATTAGCACAAACTACGATGAGATCAGAGTTGGGTAAAATATCTTTGGATAAGGTATTTAGAGAAAGGGAAGGTCTTAACGTTTCTATCGTCGAAAGTATTAACAAGGCTAGCGAGGCGTGGGGTATTTTATGTCTTCGATATGAAATTCGTAAGCTCAAATTATATTCAAATATTTTATAATAACTTTTACTCCCATAATTTAAATTTACATTTAATTAATTATTATATAGTTGATATAAAGTTACCGGACAGAGTGCAAGAAGCGATGCAAATGCAAGTAGAAGCTGAACGGAAGAAACGAGCAGCTATTTTAGAATCCGAAGGAGTCAGGGAAGCTGAAGTTAATATAGCGGAAGGCAAACGGCTCGCTAGAATTTTAACTTCCGGTAATTAAGTAAAAATTGTAATATAACATTTTTGTTATAAACATTTATAATATTACTTTATAAAATTTAACCACAGAGGCTGCGAGACAGGAACAAATAAATCAAGCGACTGGTGAAGCTGCTGCTTTAGTATCCGTAGCTGAAGCACGTGCCAAAGGTTTGCAATTAGTAGCCAATTCGCTTTCTCTTGAAGATGCAAAAAATGCAGCTGCTTTGAGTATCGCGGAACAATACGTAAACGCGTTCAATAAATTAGCTAAAGTTAACAATACTATAATACTGCCAAGCAACGTGGGAGATGCAACATCGTTGATAACGCAGGTTAATTATTTTCTATCTTTATTGAAACGCATTGTACTATATAATATATGAAAAACAAAATTTTATTATTTATATTTATGGTAATATTTCAGGCCTTGGCTATTTATAAGCACGTTATGCCCCAATCCGAATTAAAAGAATCTAAAAAATTAGATGATCAGATGCAAAAAAGTACTCCTGTTAGCATCGATTCATCGGATGAAGTGTACGAATATTTTAGCGACAAGGAAGAAGCGGAAAAACATAAAAAAAACAAAAAGAAACCTAAAGCATTGTAATATATAAATATTGAGGATATTAAAAATAATATTAAATATTTCTTAGATTATATTTTCTTTCGCTGATTTGATGCTACGATATTTATATATATTTATATGTACGAATATATATATGAAAGAGGATTAGGATTACTTTCCTTCTAATCAATATGTAAAATTAAAGACGTTCTCTGTTTTTTAATCAAAAATTTACAAAACGAGATAATAGATTGAAGATATTACTTCAAGTATTGATGATACATGAAAACAGTATGACGCAATAGATTCAATGCTCATACCATTTACTTTCTTTTCTTTGAATGCATCGACATTGCTGGTATTGGTACTGCATAAGTTTCTTGAGATATTCGGTTCATGTAATAGAGCGTTACCATGGAAAACAAAAAACATGTTGTTGTTGCTACACGATGTACCAATCCTGATGAGATCAAGCTAATTATTAATGAGAAGACAACTGTAACATAAAATAATATTAATTTTCTTTAAAACAAATTTGTTCTTTTAAAGATGAATATTATTTACAGCGTTACAAATTATAAATAAAAATGATTAATTATGCAACTGACCTTCTGGAAATAATTTCTGTTGAAATGATTTTCCAAATACAGTAGCTTCTAAATTACCTAACGCTGTTAATACAAACAAAAATAATAATGATCCAACGTAACCACCAAGAATGGTATGCAATTGCGAAGATGTTAACCAAGCTCGATACATTTGCATCCCAGAGAATAAAAGTACGGTTATAATGGAAGACAATATAAAGGATATTCCACTGGTAACAGCTAAAACAATAAATCAATGCTTACCAATGTAATTTATAAAAGATAATAAATCTTTTATAGGTTAAATTATACGTCAACGAAATTTAACCTAAATTTTAAATCTTATGACACGTAAAAGTAACATTTTTTCAATACAACAATAATACAAATAATTAACTTCATTAATATACGTACACATTTTAAATATATATATATATATATTATTTTATCAAAATTATGATATGTTCGGTTTTGACAGAGGCCAGAAAATTAAACGACACGTTGCTTGAACTACACTGTGTATACATATATAGCTAATCTTTAAACAGTATTCATAATGTGTTATCCATAGTACTTTCACAAGATGATACTTCAAATAATCTTGATAAAAATTTTATTTTATTTAACTAACTTAACAAATTCATAATTTATAAATATTTTGATTTAAAAAGAATAGTATCACATGAAAACTAAAAATACAGTATTAGTATATTGGACTACTCAGTAAAAACACACAATTGATTTTATATTTTATTTTCTGTCATATTTTTTCATTTTAGTACACTCTCAATTTATTAACCATCGATAACAGTAGATTCCAGTTTTACTATTTTGCAAATGATTATGATTTCTTCTCTTACCAATCGTCGATAATAGTAGATTCTTATTTAATTATTCTTCGATCAGATAAAGTTTTTTTTTTTTCAGAATAAAACATAAAATATTTACTATTTTTAAATGATTTATTTATATCGACAAAACATGAATTTTCAATAGTGGACTCATACTACTAAGCATGTATTATATATACATTATTCAATTATATAATATATTATATAGAAAACGTAAACTACTCAAAAATAATATACAAATATTAAAGAGAGAGATTAAAGTATATAAGTCAGAGTTCACATATAGGACACCTTTATTACTTATAATGCCTTTTGCTAGTCACAATATAATACTACGAATTATTACAATA